TTTTTTTTTTTTTTTAAGGTTACTGAAGGTGAAATTGGACCCTTCAGCTCTGTGAAGCTTCAGATCATATTTATCCCAGCTATCCCTGGGGATGTACGGGCAGAGTTTGTGATTACATTTGACAACTCACCCTGCAAACCAGTGAGTGTTTTTGTCTAAGACTTGACTCAAAACACTGTAGAAAGACTAGTATGAAACTGTCCAGCTTATGCATCTTCCAAGGATCAGAACTAAGAAAGCAGATAGATGAAAAAATATAAACATTCTAAGAAATAACGAGGTAGCAAGTGATTATGTATTGTGTAACCTGGTAGCAGGTTTCAGGGTGAGTTTGTAAACCATGGCCGCTTTTGTGGGACAGGAATACCTACGATTTATTTTTTTTTAAATATCTTCCATACATTTGTCTAACCAAAGTACCTTTAATACAATTTTTTCACTCCACTCTAGTTCATAGGAGAAACTCTTGCTCTGCCTAGATCAGTAATAATTTCAGAGGCCAACTGAAAACAAGTACACTCTTGGTTTGTGTATTAACAGCTGTACTTTAGTGCCACGGGAGTTTCTATTGATGTGCCAGTTTGGGTGCCCAATCCAAATGTTGATTTAAAGATCTGTATGTACGACCGCCTTTATCAAGACTGCATTGTCATTCAAAGCAGGTGAGCTACCCATTCATTACCAGGCTCTCAGGCCAAGACTTCATAACCATGGGGAAAATCATCCTTCTGAACTCCTGGCAACTTTCTCTATGTTAAGGGCATTTAATATGTAGCACACTAATATGCCAGTTTACCTTGACATATTTGATCTCCTGGTCTGATTCATTAGGAAGAATTTTCTTTGTGCTATAGTAACCATGGATGAAATTCCAAATGTCACATGTGCAGGAGTATCGTGTGTCAGCCTTTTATCCTGCCAACACGGATGCATTTAATCTCCTGGCTAAATGTGGCATGCTGATAACCTTCCTGCACTAGGAGTTATTAAAATTACTCTGAAGCTTGTATCAGAAACAGGATTTTTCACCATACATCTCAAATGACTTGTCAAACTGAGCCAGTTAAAACTGCTGAAAATGCATATATCTTACTATTAATTGGGAATAATCTCTCAGAAGGGTAGTGGCTGGACTGTTAAGTAGCTGTTCTTCCATTGCAACGGTGAAAGTTTGAGGAAATGCAGTTGCTAAGGTCTCTGGTCTGCAATTAGGCACAAACCAAGGATCCAGAGCCAAGGACAATTATCAAGCTAGCTATGAAGTGTTCAAACTGTTGTCAGTGTACAGTCCAAGACAGCAGTTTGCTACACAAGCTACACATACAAGCTCTACATCAGCTGAAGAGCTGCTATCTTCAAGTCTGTATACTTTTGCTAGTAGCAAAAGCAGATCAAAGCCATGGTTTTCTTAAAGGAGACCAAAGCTATGGTTTTCTGTAACCCAGTTGAAAAGGCTTGTCTCAATGCCTGAAATGACTTAGCTCGTGAGAACTGAGGCTCAGATCTGAAATATTATTAGCATAGTTTCTAAAATACAGACTAATGAAATGTTAATAGGATATTTTTTAAAAATGCACTTTAAAATTACAGATTGTTCTTACAAACGTCTCCTCCCATGCTTGGCTATTTGTAGGAAAAAGACACATATACTATGGTAATCACAAAGCATAAATATGGAATGATAAATATATAATTATATTTATATTAACCATAAATATGAGTGAAAGTGTCTCACCAGAATCCTGTCCAAAATAAACCTCTTGGAAATGTAATTTCACTGGCAGGTTATAATCCACACCAATTTAATGAAGCAGTAAGTTGTTCTCAGTCCGTCAACGGTCAGAAATCATTCCAGGCTCCCAGCACCTTATGCTGTAGTAGTGGATGGAGAGCAGACCATCTGGACAGACAGCTTGTCAACCAGTCACAGAGGGGGAAAACAAAAACCTGAAATATTTGTAAATTGCTTGACAATTTTGCACCTAGGCATTAAATTACAAAGTAGGATATGGATTGTGGCTATCACTGCGCTGTAGTATGAACAGAATTCACTTGAACAGAAAGCTGCTTCCTTAGCTTCCAGTACACTGTTCATGGCAGCATCAGCCCAGCCCCACTCTAGCTACATTTTGATGCTCTTTTTAGGTGTCCTACGGCCTTCCAGGTTCATCCTTCTGATTCTTCTGGCTCCATGATGGACATTCAATGCTTAGGAGTCTTAAAACCATTGCATGAATCGTTCCTTTTGATTCAGATAGAGGGAATATATGTTAGGAACAAATGATTAGCTTGTATTTCACAGTAATTTGGCTTTGACTTTCCACTGACCTGATTTATCACTATGCACTTTGATAATTATATTCCCATCAGCTGTATACATTGCTTGAAATACAGCTGGGTTTGCTCAAAGTACTTCCAAAATCTTGTTTTCTATACTTAGCTTAAAAGAGAATACAACTGTGTGATTTTGCCATAACAGTTTCACATGCCCTTCATTTTCAAAGGAGGCTTAAAATAGTCACAGCTCTAATGGAGAGGAGTGATGCAAGAGGGGGAAGGGAAACAAACTTCCAGAGCAAATGGAGTCGCTGATCTAGCAACATGGGCAGCCCCCAAACCACTAAGCAGGTCTGATCTGTTTGCAGAGCAAAAGCTGCGCTGCGCTTGACGTTTGAAGTGTGCAGAGAATTGACTAAACATATGGAGCTTCTGCCAAAAACAGGTTACATTCAAGCTCAGTCATCCTTCAGCGTGCAGCTGAAGTTCCTGCCCAGGTAACCTAGCAATATTAATATTTTTATATTTAACATCTGTAAGAGGCTGCGAGCATAAAATCTGAGCAAGTTAAAGGTGTGTTTTTCCTTCACACTGACTGGAGCCGGCCGGACTCCACGCTGCTGGTGTCAATGCAGTCCCAGGCTCCCTCCTGTTTCCCTGTGCAAAAGATGCCAGATGCTCAAGGAGGAAATTAACTTGGATCCCATTCCTGTGAGGAAATGCTTCTCCTGTGGTGACAGCAGCAGTGTGAAAATCCGAACAGTTGCATTCCGGGTAAATTGCCTCTGTTTCTGTGGGGAGCCCCCTCTTGTACAAAAGAGAGGTTAGGTGGGCAGGTGGCTACTTCACAGATCACTGATGAAGTCACTTTTGGACAAGTACTCCTCTGCTTGCTGAGTAAGGTAAGAACAGTTGGACCTCCTGCTTGTATCCCTCATCCAAATACTATTTTCTCTAACTTACTGAATGCGTTGATTTTTTAATTTATTTTAATTTCATGTGTCATTTGACATAAGAACATCTTCTAAGATGTTAAAAGCCCTACCTCAGCAAGCTTCTCTCTTCCACTTCAAAATACATCTACGATAGAAGAGTGAAAACTCAGCTATAGAAATTAGAAATGCCTTTTTTTAATTTAAATGCAATTTAAATTGTTATTGACCATTGTTATTTATCTTAACCTTGTTATTTTAAAGAATTTAGCAGAACGTTTCCTTTAAAATATAAACTGAATGATTAGATCTCAACACTAATATACAGTCAAATACTGCAATGGCTTCAGTTATTTTAAACTTAAACCTTTTTTTGGACAAGCCCTGAAGTACTGGGTGCAGCGATTGCTGGTGTACACCTGCAGGTCTCCTCAAGGAGTTATCTAGCTCCTTCCATCTAAGTACGTCTGGATTTTCACTGATGTGCTCGATGTTTCTAGAAATCAGACCTTTACATTCTAAAATGAGGCTAAGCACTGACATCAAAATTATCAGTACATGAATATTCGTAGAAAACTATTTACAAGTATTTACAAATTTTCCAGCACTTCAAATCCTACCAGATTAACCACAACAGTAACAGTCGTTATCATATTTTTCAGTTCCTGAAGTTCAATGCTGTAAAACACCATTCTGCTTGTTGAGTGGTTAGAAGCATAGCTTAGATTTAGAGCATTAATCAGTCTT